CCCCCCCCGGGTCTGAGTCTTTCCCTCTGTTTCTCTGGGCTTTGTCTCTCCGACTTAGTCTCTATCTCTGAATCGCTATGTCTGTCCCTCTCAGAGTATTTTCCTTTCTCAAGATTTCTGTTTCTCTGAGCATCTCTGTCCTTTGTTTCTGGGTTTCTGTCTGTGTCTCTATCCTCATCTCTCTGAGCCTCTGTCTCTGGTCTGTGTCTCTGTCTCTCTTGGGTCCTTGTCCTTGTCTCCCTGTCTCCGGGTCTCTCTATACCTGTCCCTCTGTCACCCGCCAGTGCCTCTCTCTGGGTCCCCCCGTGACCCCTCCTTCGCCCTCCAGGTCCCTCACCGCGTCGCGGCTGCTCTCCGTGCTGCTGCCTTCTCCCACTTCTTCCTCTTCCTCAGCCTGCTGCTCAGCTCCTCGGCCGCTGGGAAGCTCCTTCACTCTCTGGGGCTCCTCGGGGGCCTCGGGGACCTCGGGCGCCTCCGGCTTGTGGGTGTCCCCCGCGTGCACCTGGGGCTGCGTAGCCCCATGGGGCCGGTCCTCCGCGTCGCACTCCGGTACCGGAGGCGGCTGGCACCCCTCCCCCGGGCCGCTCGGCGTCCCCATGGCCGCTTCGGGCTCCGGCGGAGTGGGCTGGCCCTTGCGTTCCGGGGGCGTGGTCTGGCAGCGTGGGGGTGTGGCCCACGAGGCCAGAGCAGCTCCCGACTGCTCGGGCGCGTGGAAAAGAGCTCCAGGAGGCGGGTCTAGGAGATCAAAGACTGGAACTGAGCACTCGGAGGCGTGGCCTGGAGTTTCTGGGGGCGGGGTTCGATGGCTCCCAGGGCGCCACACCCCCGAAGGCCAGACCGGAATTTGAGTCGGGGTCTTAGCACGCCCCCTACTGGCCTCTCCCTCCTACCCAAGGGTCTAGCCTCGGACCCTCCCGGCAGCCCCTCACAATGCCTTAGACCACCCAAGAGCGACCCCATCTCCTTCTCCCTCCGGGACTCCGGCGTCCGGACTCCCGTATCCTCCTTTCCCGAGCCTGGTAGACTTGGCTCCGACTCTACCTGAGGAGGGAGTAGCGCCCCTGCCTTCTCACTCAGGGATCCGGGAGTCGGGGCTCCTAGTTTCCCTCTCTACACAAACCGAGAGTCTGCGTCCTCTGCTCCTCCCCGGGGCTAGATTCCCAAACTGCAGCCTCCCTCCTCCCCCGGGCGCCCAGAAGGCCGAGCTTCCAGCCCCGTCTTCCCCCGCAGCCCCGGCCCCCTCACCAGCTCAGGCTTCGGCGCGCTTCCCTCTGCGCTCCGGGCGCTGCCTTTTCTGTCTAGAGGACAGGTGGCTGGGGAAGAGGGAGGAGAGAAGCTGTTCTGTCCCCCTCCCCAGCAGCCCGGAAGTGGAGGGGGGGACAACAGGTCCAACAGCTCCCGAGGGAGGAGGGAGAGACCAGCTTGCCCCGCCCGCGGCCGCGGCATCCGGCCATCCCGGCCCCACCGGCCCCACCCTTGGAAAACCCAGCATCGCGACCCCCCACTCTGCCTCCAGCACCCCCCGTTCCTGTCCCCTAAAGGGCTAGTCGTCTTGATCACCTATGTATAAATGCCTCCCTAAGGCCCAGACCCCGGGAATCCTGAAAGAAAAGGGGGGGAAGGGAGATAGGGGCCTCTCCCCTCTAATGAGCCCTTTAGAAGGGCTCCGACCGGTTTGGGGAGCTGGGCAAGGGGAGGGGGTGCCCTGAGCTGAGTCAGAGACCCGCCCACAGACCGGGAAAGTGTGCCCCCCCCCATCTGTTATGGGGTGGAGGGCAGAGGTTAAAGGTCTCAGCCAGACCCTTTCCTCTCTGGGCAAAAACAGGAAAATTATTGGCACGTGAGAAAGGATTATTGGATGTCAGGAGCTGTGCTAAACACTTTATACACGTTAATTTCATCCTTACAGTAGCCTAATGAGAAAGGGATTACCATCTCCATTTTATAGCTGGGGAAACTGAGGCTGAGAGGGACAAATGTGCACAAAGTCTATACATGTTGTTAATCTTTTTTTTTTTTTAATTTTTTTTCAACGTTTATTTATTTTTGGGACAGAGAGAGACAGAGCATGAAGGGGGGAGGGGCAGAGAGAGAGGGAGTCACAGAATCGGAAGCAGGCTCCAGGCTCTGAGCCATCAGCCCAGAGCCTGACGCGGGGCTCGAACTCACGGACCGCGAGATCGTGACCTGGCTGAAGTCGGACGCTTAACCGACTGCGCCACCCAGGCGCCCCTATACATGTTGTTAATCTTAAAGCTGGAGTTGTTCTCTGGAAAGTCTGTGTTCTTAACCATTAGACATGCTGTCACTCTGGCGCAGCCAGGAAGTGCCTGGAAGATCATTCCAAACGATAGTTACAATAATTGTCACCACTGATAGGAACCCGGCCATGAGGGGAGGGTGCCAAGCGCCTCATACATGTGGATTCCTTGGGTCGTCATGACACCCTATTATTAGTATTATTTCTATCTTACAGATTGAAACTGAGGCGCGGAGAAGTGGAGCACCTTATCCTGGGTCTTACAGGTAGAAGTGGTTCAAACTCAAGACAGTGTTCTAATCCAAGGAGGTGAGAAGCCCTGCCCCGGATACGAGTTTCTGATCTCGTGAGTTGGAAAATTTCCTCCTTGCAGGCACCCTGGATCTTCAGTGACCTTGCTCACCCCCTTGGCCTCTCTAGACCAGACACCTCAGCCCAGAAAACCAACTGGTTCCCCCAGAAAATGGACAGAAATAAGATTCAGAGCAACAACAAAACAAAACAAAAAGCAATGTTTTAAATTTTATTTAAGAAGCTCAAGGGCTGGTGAGGGAGGGGAAGAAGAGAGGCTTTGGTGATGGCGCCCCTCTCTGTACCCCACCTAGTGCATTCTTAACGGATATGAGCACCTGACAAAGCCAGGTCAGGAAGGGGGAGTCTGGATCCCACAGCGCATATTAGCTGGAACAGCAATGTCTGAAAGGAAGAAACCAAGGTTAAAACAAAGGGCTCCAGCAGAACCCCTCATGCCCCACTGGGGACCCAGAAATCCTAGGAGCCCCTCTTCTTTGGGAAACTAGAGTTCTGGCCCTGAGCCCCACCCTCCCTCAGACCCAGCAGTCCCGGCCCCCAAATGCTCACCTATCTGCTGAGGCTTGGGCAAGTTCAGGTTGTCCATGACCTTGACAAATTCCTCACAGCTGAGAGTGAGCCGAGGGTTCAAAGTCCTCTCCTCCTCCACAGTGGACACTGTGAGCCCTAGTGGCCGAGGGAGGGGAAGAATGTCAACCTGGCAAGTGCCTGGGGCTTCCTAGGACTACACTTCCCAGGAGGCTTAGGGTGCATCTCGGGCCTGGGACTAATAGGCTCTTCCCAGAATGTACCTGAGGTCGCTGGCTCTCCTCAAAAGGCACTATGGGAAATGTAGTTTCCCACCTTCCCTAAGCTCTATAGGGAAGTCCCGGGAAAACTCTTGCCCTCCGGAATTCTAGTTGTAGTTTCTCCATCCACACTCGGCACACCTAAGCACTTAATCTTTTTTGGCCAGAGAAATTTCTAGGAATTGTAGTCTCCATGCCCCACAAGGACTACAGCAGTTTGGTACGCCCTCTCAAACGGAAAGTTATAGAAGTCCCATACCTCCCCCAGGAAGCCCTCACCATGGTAATCATGAGCAGGGTAGACCAGACAGTCTCCTGGAAGCGTGAAGATCTTTTCATGGACTGAGTGGTACAAGGTCTTAGCACAGCCTGGGGAGGGAAAGTTCAGAGGAGTGAATCAACAGGACAGGAGCCCTCTAATCCCTTCCTTCAAGAAAAGGGTGGGAGGATAAAATCACATAGCTAAACTGCCCCCCTCATTTCCTGCCAGTACCGCCCTGCCTAGGCACAGAAAGAGAGGAAAGGGCGTTCTAGACAGATGGAACAGCATAGGCGAAGAGTTGAGGAATGGTGAGAAATTCGCCATGGTGGTAAATAAGGTTGGGATGAGATCCTGAAGCACCAGGGAGTTGTGCCCTCAGCCTGGAAAAGCTTCAGGGCAGGGAGGCTGGACTAGAAGGTAAGAAACTGAAGACATGAGGCCAAAGAGAATGGTTCCAACAACACCCTCTGAGTCCTCAACTGGGGCGGGGGCAAACCTCTCTAGACCATCATTCCCGCCATTCATGTCAGCCCAATCCTTCAATTTCCTAACTGTGCAGGGAGTGGATAAATGGGAGATGAGGCACCTCGGAAAGAGAGACAGACAGACACAGACGGAGACATAAGGAGAGGAAGAGGAAGCAAGAGGCAGCCTGGGGCTCTGGTTACACACTTCCAGCTCATGGTTGTCCTATCTTTGCTCTGTCTTTATCAGGGCAGCTAAATCCTCCCAATCTAGTGTCAGCCCCGTATTCGCACGCACACACGCTCAAGGGCAGGCACACCCAGAGATTCTGAAACTAAACTCCCTTCCCACAGTGAAACTCCTGAATCTAACTGCCCCCCTAGCAGCTGAACTCCTGAATCAAACTCACACCCCTCCCCGCTGCGACACCTCCAGCAGCCAAGCTCCTTATGGGGTTTAAAAATATGTCCACAGGGGCGCCTGGCTGGCTCAGTCGGTAGAGCATGTGACTCTTGAGCTTGGGGTTGTGGGTTCAGGTCCCACGTTGGATGTAGAGATTACTTAAAAAAATAAATAAATAAATAAATAAATAAAAAAGGGCTCCCTTGGGCAGTGCATACACTACAATTGGAATGATACAGAAAAGGTTAGCGTGGCCCCTGTGCTAGGGTGACATACAAATTCCGTGAAGCATAAATATTAAAATATTATTAAAATAAATAATAAATATATGTCCACCAACTCACTGACACTTTTCTGTTCAAAATGTGATCCTTCCCCTCGCCTTGACTTAGTGGTCTCCACTAAGTGACTTGCAACGAATAAACAGGATATTGCAGAAATGACAGAGGTTAACTTCTGAGACTAGGTCATTAAGAAAAAGTTAGGGCTTCGGACTGCTTGCCCGTTGCATCTCTCTGATCATGCCCTCTGGAGGAACCCCGCTGCCAGGTCATGAAGACAAAGTACCCCCATGGAGAGGTCACATGGTGAGAAACTGAGGCCTCCTGCCAACAGTGGGAGCCAGCTTGCCAGCCATGTGAGTGAGGCGCCTTTGGAAGTGGACCCTCCAGCCCCAATCACGCCTTCAGATGACTGCAGCCCAGGCCCTAGCTTGACTGTGCCCTCCATGAAAGATGCTGAGCCGGAACCACCCAGCTAAGCTACTCCCAGAGTCCTGACTCTCAGAAGTTATGCGAGATAATGTTAATCATTGTTTTAAGTCATTACACTCTGGGGTCATTTGTTTCACAGCGATAGATAACTAACGCCCCCCCTTGAATCTAACTGTCCCTCAATACAGTAAACCACTGCATCTGCCCCCCCCAAGGGTCATGACTCTAACCCTCCCCGACTCCAGCATCTAAACTTCTTGAATCTAATCCTGACCCCCTAAAACCCCCATTCATTCATTCTTACAACAGGTCCTTAAAACTCTGGTGTCATTCTAACACCCATTCATTCATTCTTACAACAGGTACTTAAAACTCTGGCCCACGCATAACCATCCTACGATCTCAGGCTGGAGAAGGGGGCCTGTGACCTTGCTGGAAGTCCGTCCGCCCACACCCTCGGATGAGCAGGGCATCTCCAGTGAAGGCCATGCTGTGGTCATTCAGGACGAAGGTGACACAGCCTGGGGTGTGGCCGGGGCTGGCCCGGGTCTCCAAGGCCTGGTGGGGAAGGAGAGTACAGACAGTTATCAATAAGCCAAGGACTCTGGTCTGATGGCAAAACTGACCCCAGAAGCACCCATCCCACCTCAGGATTACATCTAGCTAGCATAGTTTTTTGCAAAAAGATTAGGTGTGCCTGGGTGGCTCAGTCAGTTAAGCGCCTGACTCTTGATTTCAGCTCAGGTCATGATCTTGCTGTTCATGGGATCGAGCCAGGCATCGTCTGCCTCTGCACTGACAGCATGGAGCCTGTTGGGTGTTCTCTCTCTCCCTCTCTCTCTGCCCCTCCCCCACGCACATGCTCGCTCGCTCTCTCTCTCTCTCAAAATAAATAAATACACATTTAAAAAATTAAATAATAAAATTATGTTATTGAAATGAAATTAAAGATGCTATACACAAATATTTAATGACATGAAAATATGTTAAATATCTGGTAAGTGCTAAAAGCAGATTAAAAAAAAAACTTGTACAGTGTCATCTTTTAAAAAAAATTTATTCATTCACTCAAAATATATTTTTTTCTTTAGGCTTTTCCTACATTAACAATTTTTAAACAGAAAACATGTCATTTTATAATTAAAAGTAAAACACAAAATTCAGGATAAACTAAAGATGTAAACATTAAAAGAACCATAAGAATTCTAGAGAGAGAAAAAAGAATTCTAGAGGAAAATATATAAGGATATTATGAGTATATAAGAATATATATAAAATCATATAAAGATATATATAATCTTTTTTTTTAAACATGACTTTTTTTTAACGTTTATTTATTATTGAGAAACAGAGAGAGACAGAGTATGAGCGGGGAGGGGCAGAGAGAGGGGGAGACACAGAATGAGAAGCAGGCTCCAGGCTCTGAGCTGTCAGCAAGGAGCCCGACGCGGGGCTGGAACTCACGAACCGCGAGATCATGACCTGACCTGAAGTCAGACGCTCAACCGACTGAGCCAGCCAGGCACCCCAAAGATGTATATAATCTTATAAATACATAAGGAGATTATACACACACATACACACACACACACACACACACACGGAAAAACAGTGACAAGGATGACCACATAGTTTAACTTCATCATAGAAAAGAACAAAATAAGAGTTAAAAGACAAAAAACTCAGACAATAGTCGCAGCATTTATAAGAAAGTATTATAAAGTGTGAATAGCCATCATATATAAACAGCTCCTAAGCATCAATAAAAACTCCCAAAAGAAAAATGCACAAAAGAAAAAAAAAAAAGAGGCAATTATGGAAGAGGAAACAAATAGTCAAAAACCATCTGAAACAATATTTGATCTCCCTTTTTTGGGAGAAAAGGAGGGAGATTTAAATGTTAAGAACCCTCACTTTTCACGTACCAGATTGGCAATTGTTAGGGTATTGCTCAGGGTGTTTGAGGCAAGCCCTTTTGTTTCCTGGGACGCGGGTATGACTCCATGTAGCCATTTCAGAGGGCAAGTTTGTCGTGTTTACCAGCATCTCAAATGTGCACTCTTTCTGACCCCTCAAAGTTACTGCTAAGACGCTGCTGTTAAGAACTTCCGACACATGTGCAAAAAACGCCCACTCAGGAAAATCCTCATTATCTAAATTCCCACACTCAGTTCAGGGAAGCAACTGTCAGAAAACAGTTGTTACCCTAATGATCTAACAACCACTTAGAAGATTAGTTCCCGCTCACATAGCACCCCTCCCACCAATTAGCATCCTGGTCCAGGTCAGTCTAATCAGCAGATTATAGAAGGGCACCATGTGCAGACCCTGTGTCCACACCCAGCACCCATTCTGCCCTTCCCCACTCACAGGTCTCCAGTTTGGCTCGGGGCATCCGTGTGCCTAGCCAAGCACTTCCTTAGCCTCCATGGTAGCTTGGGTGGCTTCTGACACGGTTCTCTGGCCACCAAGATCTCCGTAAATGTCTGAGAATGTCTGAGAAAGCTTTTCCCTTCCTGATACAAGAGTTTGGCACCTCTCCTTCCCACTTCATCTGGTTCTGGACAAAGGCGTGATGGCTGCAGCTGCAGCAACCACCTTGCAACCATGAAAAAGAATCCCCAAAATGATAGCGCTGCTTAATCGGACCATGACTGCCTTCTTCCAGACTCTATTACAGGAGAACATTGAACACCCAATTATTTAAGCCACTGTATGGTTTTTTAAGTCATGTATTGGTTTTTCAGCCAAACACCTTCCTAGCTCATATATAATAGGATAGATGTCCAATGCCAAACAAATGCAAAGCAAAATCACAGACCTTGCAAAAGCTTGTGGGAAAAATCGCAGGCATCCTGCACCAAATTAACACCTTTTGGTGGCAGCAAAGGGATGATCTTTCACTTTTTATTTGGTCTGTTTCTGTACTCTCTGAATTTTTCTTTCTCAGGAGCCTTTATTTCATTTTATTTTTATTTAAATCCAAGTTAGTTAACATATAGTGTGACAGTGGTTTCAGGAATAGAATTTACTGATTTATCACTTACATAGAACACCCAGTGCTCATCCCAACAAGTGTCCTCCTTAATGCCCCTTGCCCATTTAGCCCACCCCCCACCCAACACCCCGCCAGCAACCCTCAGTTTGTTCTCTGTGTTTAAGGGTCTCTTATCACCTGTCTCCCTCTCTGTTTTTATCTAATTTTTCCTTCCCTTCCTTTGTGTTCATCTGTTTTGTGTCTTAAAGTCCTCATATAAGTGAAGAAGTCATATGATTTTTGCCTTTCTCTGACTAATTTTACTTAGCATAATACCCTCCAGTTCTATCAGTGTTGCAAATGGCAAAATTTCCTTCTTTTTGATTGCTGAGTAATACTCCATTGTATATATAGACCACATCTTCTTTATCCATTCATCCATCGATGGACATTTGGGCTCTTTCCATACTTTGGCTATTGTCAATAGCGCTGCTATAAACATGGGGGTGTACGTGCCCCTTCAAAACAGCATCCCTGTATCCCGCGGATAAATGCCTAGTAGTGCAATTGCTGGGTCGTAGGGAAGTTCCATTTTTAGTTTTTTGAGGAACCTCCATACCGTTTTCCAGAGTGGCTGCACCAGCTTGCATTCCCACCAGCAGTGCAAAAGTGTTCCCCTTTCTCCACATCCTCGCCAACATCTGTTGTTGCCTGAGTTGTTAATGTTAGCCATTCTGACAGCTGTAAGGAGGTATCTCATTGTGGTTTTGATTTGTATTTCCCTGACGATGAGTGATGTGGAGCATCTTCTCATGTGGCGGTTGGCCAGCTGGATGTCTTCTTTGGAGAAGTGTCTATTCATCTTTTTTGCCCATTTCTTCACCGATTATGTGTTTTTTGGGTATTGAGTTTGATAAGTTCTTTATAGATTTTGGATACTAACCCTGTATCTCTGAATTTTTTTTTAAAACAAAAGACATGGGTGTCTTTTAAACTAAATATTGTGATGGATGATCAGGAGTAGTGTTCAAAGTAGTGAATCACAGTTGTAGCAATGGGTATTGACCAATCAGAAGGACATCAGCCATGAACAACCAGTACAGTTAGAAAGTGTATGCTCTATATGGTACGGTAAAAGTATATATATGATATATGTAATTGTGTATGTATATAAATTGGACAAAATTTTAATATCAATTGAGCAAAATCCTGCTTGCCACGTAGATCAAGATTCCTCAGGCCCTTGGTGATGGAATCTGTGTGGCAAGTGGCTTGGCTAGTGAGCAGTATCCCTGGCCATTCCCATCTCTGGAATATCTAGAATCCGTCCTCCACCACCATGTACCTCCCACCGTCCCACCCATCTTGGACCTCATCCTCTCCTGCTTGGAACAACCACAATCCTCCCTGGCCCACCAGCCTCCATCCATCTCCCGCATGACCCTGAAGGGGGTTTCTATTGCCCAGATTCAAACCTGCTCCTCTCTGCTCAAGACTCTTCCTTGGCTCCCACTGTCCCCAGGGCAGGGTTCTGGGTCCTCGGCCTAACTTTTGAAATGCCCCTGTTCTGGTGCCTGTCCACCTTCACAGCCCAATGTCCTATAACATCCTCCATTTCTCAACACGCCCAGCTACTCTGAAACCCAGGGTCATTTCCAGAAAGCACCAGGTTTTTCCACACCTCTTGCCCATGCAATTCTCTCTGCTAGGTACACCCTTCCCTCTTCACCCATTAGTCAGATCGACTCATTTCCAAGAGCCCTGACATTGACTGACCCCTTCTCCTGTGCCAGGCTCTCTTCTAAGTGTTCAACTCGACTGAACTCATTCACTCCACACACACCCTTATGAGGTAGGTACCGTTCCTGCGCCCATTCTGCAGATGAGGAAACTGAGGCACAGGATGAGAATAAGAACGTGCCAACTATAACCATATACTAGAATATGAACGAATCTCACGGATAAGACAAAAGCAAATAAAATGCACTAGACACAGAAGAGCAGAAAGGTGTGGAATGGAATAGGATGGATGGGGCAAGGAGGGGGATAGGATAAAGTGAGAAATCTCAGGGTGCCCACTACACAGTACAGGGAAGTGGTATTTCATGAAGTGGAGGTTTCATTGACGAATCCAGAAGGAAAACATCCCATCTCATGGCGAAGGTGCATGGACCAGTGGTCAAGAACAGTTTCCTGAGCCAGGTGACATGGGTTCTAAATTTGGCTCAGCTATTACTAGCTGTGTGTCCTTGCACAAGTAACTTCACCTCTCTGGGCTTCTCTACTCATTTGTAAAATGGGGATAATAATTGTCCCCACCCCATAGGGCTATTACAAAGATCAAATTATTTTGTATCTGTAAAGCACTTAGAAAAATGCCAAGCACACAATAATTGCTGTATAATAAAAGTAACATAATCATGATGATGTTTGAAAATTTGTAAAAACACTGATCTACTGGAACCACAAGGGCTCCTGGGTTCAAATCCCCGCTTGGCCACTTTCTCAGTGTAATTTTGGGGCAAGTCACTTCCCCTCTTTAAAAGGGGGAAAATAGGGGCACCTGGGTGGCTCAGTCGGT